AAACTTCTGTCTACCCAGTATAAATGCAAGGAGAAAACCCTACAAATGGCATGGGCCATTCAACCACGGTCACCACGTTAGTCCCCTTGTTTGTCTGCCCTGGCTCCTGTCACTCCTTATAAATATTTATCGTTTGTGTCACAGAAACTCCTGTCAGGACCTGCTCCATGAGGCTCAGGTCCACAGCAAAGGCTTCTACTTCGTACATCAAAACATGTATGTACAATAAAAACAAACAAAAACCCTAAATCTTGTCTCTATAACTTGAAATACGTTTTAAAAAAAAAGTATACTAAAGCTATCTACTGAGTGGTATATGGGTATCTGACAGGAATTACTGTTAATGTTTTCAATAGGCTTGCTGGTGTGCCCTCTTCATCTTCATGTTTTAGATTTTCATAGGAGTGAAAGTATTCCTGATTTGGTCCCATTCAACCCATATTAAAAAAGTCACTTTGTAACAGACAAAAAAACTCCTTTTGTGTCTCGTCTCCTAAGTTATAGTTGCTTCTTCAGAATTCTGTATTCAGAAAGTGTAAAATGGGCTGAGAGAGCATTCAAACCATGGGGTCCAATTTTATTCTGACAAGCCTGCCTATAGCTTGGAGATGGCCACATCAAGGGTCACACACAATATCTAGAACAGTTAGGCTGAGTATCTGCAGCTCAAACTACACTGCTGCCCCTCTTCACGAGGCAGAGTTCACAGGTAGAGAGGCACTGCCCCTACCTACGAACCTTGTCTGATTATCTCTTACCATCACAGTACTTTTACCACTCATGTGATTACTGCACAAATTTCCAAGCCAATAAAATCAAAGAGTTTTTTTTTTTAATTTTAAAATTCGAGGTGGTAGAATAAAAACATATAGATGAGACTATTAAAAGTCATGAATATAAGGATGTCTCCAGGCACTTCAAAATTTGCTAAGTCAGCCTTTAGTTTGATCTGTGATATCCATATATCCACTCCCATGATTCTCATGCAACAATATATTTTGATACATGCTTATTCATCAGAAATCAGAACATCTCTGAAAAGTCAAGCTGAAATTTAAACAAGTGTTTTTTGGTATTTCTTGTTTATGTTAGACCAGGTGGCAGCTGTTGGAAGATCATTTTGATTTAACAAGTTCTTGTTTTGTTAGCAAAGAAAAACACTGTCGAACCAAATTCTCCTGACAGTGAATAAATATTTCTCCTCCATCAGACCAAATATTTTCATTTGTCATCTTAGTAGCTGGGGGTAAACAAAATCTCAGAAGATTTCTAGATTCCTAGATGAACTCAAAAATGGCTTGGTGCTTTATGGGAGGCGACTGTTATCCCTGCTCAGGACTGGTGGGGCTGCATCTGGAGTGCTGCATCACCCCTTGGGCAGATTTCTAAGGAAAGCATCTGAAATGGTGGAAGAACCCTCTTCTCTGGAAGAACCCCTAGACATGGGCTTGTTCAGTTCAGGAAAGAAAAATTTCAAGAAGTTACTGGCTAGTCTCACAGTATGCAAAAGACCGTGATAAGGACGAGTGGGACAAGCAGGAGGCTGCACAGATTTGTGGAAGAAAATTCCATGGAGGCCCGTTAATCCGGCGGCCGCCACCACCGTCTTCCGAAGGCCTTGAGCCACAGGCTGCGGGGGGGAAGCTGCCCTGGGCAGCTGCTCTGCGGCCCCTCACCGTGTCCACGCGCCGCCGCGCTGCCCTCCTGGCGCTCTCTGCGCGGAGACGAGACGCCCAGAGGAGCGCAGCGCAGGGCAGGGCCGGCACGGGCACGTTCTGGCCTGCTGAAGGGCTTGGAACCATCTGCTGCTCCCATTGCATCAGTCTTTCATTTCTGCCAGAATTGAATACGTTCAAAAAAAAGGGTAAAATTAATGTTCTTACTATAGATCTTTGTCCCCATTTGAGTCTTTACCTATTTTTGTAGCTGTAAAATTAAGCAACATAAAAAATGTTAGATTGCAATCCAGTTTGGAAAGCAAACACCATCTTTGGAGTGGCTTGCAGGCAGGTCAGGAGGAGAAGCAATTATATAATATTTAACTGTACAAAACTACTTCTTTCATTACAACTTCACAGAACTGCTAATTAAAAGTGAATGATGGAAAAGCCATTTACTGTTAGCTCTGCTCTTTGCAAAGAATTTTGGCTGCTGATATCCTTTGGCATAACTCATTTACTGTGGATTTCCTGATTAACACATTTCAAAAAGTTACAAAGTCCTAAGCAGTAAATGCCATGTTTTTACAAAAATCCCCCTCTACATTAGTAAGCCAAAGAATACAAGACAACACTCAGACCTTGACATGCTCAATATATTAATGAAACTCTTTAGTTCTAAAACAAACTATGGTGTGTTTCTCTTATGTATTATTTTAAATGCGTAAATAAATGAAGATTGCCAAGAAATCTGTCAGGTTCCTGAAGGAATCTGTAGCACGTGTGCACAGTCCTTTCAGACGACAGCAAGAGAAAATCGGGGTCATGACAGGCTATGTATGTGTAGCTGGAAGCCAGTTCTCAAATCAAGGGGATCGGTGCTTTGTGTGTTGGGGACTGTTAGCCATATTCTTCTGAGGGGAGAATATTAAATAAAAGAGCAGATGACCCCAGGTGCACATATATGTTACAATCTAGACTGGGTTTTATCTGCACATGAATCAGTTAAATGGCTTGTAGAGAATCTCTTTTGTTCAAAACAGGATCACAACTTGCTCCAAAAATGCATACTTCGATCATACCCATGTCTAATGTCAAGGCTATAGTTGCACAGCATGCTGTCTTTGCCACTAACAAACATGTTAGAGAACCTGAACCTCACCCCTACACACAGTATGTGCTGTTTTGGGGTACATGCATCATTGAAATAAGATGCAAAAAAAACAAAAAAAAGAGGGGGTGATGTTTTTACCCTGAGCAGACTCAACGAGCTGGGGGATACCATGGCCACAAAAAGTTGAGCGGACTCAGCTGAGGCATGAGAGTGAAGGAAAGACGTGGAGCCTGCCTTGGCAGCAGTGCGCGGTACTGCTGCTGCTGCTGGCTGCCAAAAGCTGGGACTGCAATGATACTTCATAACCGAAACTTGATCTTTTTGCAAGCTTTGTCGTAGCACTCTATATTACACAGTAAGATTTGGATCCCGTAGGAAAGATGTGGAAGAAAGAAATTTTGGGATACGCAACATTTCATCATGAGATACTGGTGGGTGAGTTAATTGAATTGCACTCCATGTGATACTTATTGACTGACTATACTATTAGGCAGTGAGAACAATTATCTAGGAACAAAAATATCTGGGCACTTAGTGAACTCGGAGATCTCAAGTCAAGCACGAGGAAGACTTCATTTTCAGAAGCACTGGCAGCACTTCAGACACAGACAGTTTACCCAAAGCAGTGGTTCTAGACTTCAAAAAAAACCAATTGCTTGACACACAGAAAATAAGGTAGTATTTTGTTTCCTTAGCTTAACTTTTTCGAGCCTAGGGCAAAACAGATTCTGCCTGTAAGGGGACGCTTAGCTATTGTCCATTCAGATATTGAGATTCCAAAGAGCAAAGCATACAATATTCCTGGAGTCGTGTCGAAACGCCCTCTTACCAAAAGCTGTCTGTGAGGGAGAAGACAGACATTACAGTGTCAAAATAAAAATGACTCGCTTCCTTTTCTGTAAGTTATTGTTTACCCAGTTAGGGTCTGTGAAGAAAGCCACGTATTTACCCTCACAGCGTGCCTATGAAATCACTGCTAGAGGAGCGGGGAGCTGAAAGGACGGCCTTGTTTTCCAGCACGAGGTCAAGGGTTCTGCCCCTGCCCTCGCCAGCCGCCCCACGAGGCCCTGGGACAGGCCCTGCTCTGACCCCCACATCCGCACGCTGTTACCCTGCAGCACCGTCGCCTTCGAGGAGGCAATGCCCTCCGGAGCCGCTGGAGCAATTTCCCCAGCTGCAGGCAGGGTACTCCCCAGCGCGCTCCCACCGCCCAGCGAGGTGAGAGGCGCCTTGTCCTCGCGAGGCAGCGGGGAGCCGCGGCGGCGAGGCCCAGGAAGCAGCTTCTCCCCACAGCAGCGCCACAGAGAGAGACAAAACCCACTTAGCCTCATACCAGGCATGCAGGAGGCTTGGGAGCCAACCAGGTTACGAGGCGCACCTTAGAGATGCCCTCACGGAGTCCTGGCCACACAGCTTATAGCTGTGATCGAAGGAAGAAGGAAGGAACGCTAGGGAAATCAAACGGGCTCCTCCAACAAAACACTGCACGTGGTAGGAGAAGCTGACCTAGCTGCAAGAAAAATTACTGCAGGACGTAAAAACAAATGTACAATAAACTGTACACCCGGGCAAATAATACAAATCAAACATATTAAGGTTCAATTTACAAAAGGTTAACAAATAATTAATAGCTGTTTTAATAAATTGTTATCTTACTCTCATCTATCGTCAACCCAACAGATAAATTCTCGCTGCCTACACTACTTTCTACTGACACATTTATAGCCCTCTCTAACATATACTTCGTATTTCTCTAACATGAATTACAACATCTTGAAATCATTTATTAACCCTTCATAAAATTCTCAACAAACCTTAATATGAAGGACGACTAACTTTATACGACTGCAGCCCCATAGCCCAGGACACATGAAATACTGGCTCTTCCATGTTTTTATTTAAAATTCTACATTTTCCTTGGGAGCATCACTGGCTACAGAATCACAGATGCCTGCGGTGGCTTCGCCAATACCCTGCAGACACAAGAACTGAAACAAAAGTGGTAGCAGTGGATCACAGGGAACAGTTCAAGCTCTTCCAAGAGAAACGTCCTGGCTTCTTTTTTTGTTGTAACTAACATTAATACCATGACAACACAGTCAGAAAGCAAAAACAGAGTCTGTTGAAATTCAATACGTTATTTTTCCTTATTTTTAGAAAACAAAAACAAAAACAAACACATTGTAATATAAATAAATAAAGGGGAAAATATTTAGGTAAATTCCCAAACCCACCGCTAGGGTCTTCAAGAGGCACCAGCCAACTATTTGTCAGGTGCAACCTAAATTCCTCTTACCTGCAAATTCTCAATATGCTTAAGGTCTTATTTAGTGTACCGTTCTTAGGGAACAAGGCGCATTACATTTAGGTCTCCATTTTTCCACCTAGCATTTTGATCTTCAAACTCCCACCTTAGTTATTTCTATCAAAATCACCTGCTATAGGCCTAAGAAAGTTCAGGTCAGACCTGTACCACTTCTTCATTTTCAGAGCCTCTATCTTCATTCCCACATTCTTCAATCAGGTTTTCATTCTCTTGGATCTTCTCTTCTTCCTCCTCATCCTCCTCATCTCCAAAAGTCTGTTCTTGCATTGTAGTAAAAGTAAGAGACCGGGCAGCAACTTGTGCAGCCAGGCCAGATGTGAAGGTAAAATCTGTTGCTCTGTGGAGCAGCGCCAGCCTCTGCTTGATTTGTGACTGCAGGGCACCCTGCAAGGCCGGCGGCGACACCTCGGCCCCGTCCACCCCGCTCAGCTGCAGCTCTTCTCCGTCCCCTTCGCACTGATACGTTCTTTTCCCAGCCTCTGGAGAAACACCTTCGTTTGTGGTATTGTCTCTGTTTTCCTCCATCTCAGGATCTTCATACAAATACTCTGTCCTGCTCTTATCAGCAGCATTCACTGTTAGCTTCGAGTCCCTTTCTTCAGATTTATCACAACTTTGGCTACAGTCCTGATTTTCTGTAACCGAATTCATAGGTGACTCCATATTATTTAGTAGCTTCAGTGGTTCTACAGGTGACAAGGGTTTCACTGCAGCTTAAAAAGGGGAAAAAATGAAATGATAATAAAAAGTAAGCTGCTAAATATATTTAATCTGTGTTTTTAAAAATGGAGTATTGTAGAATATGTAAGGGACAAAATGGATTAAAACAAACAAACAAACAAAAAACAGTAACAAAAACACAACAACGGAAAACCTAAACTAAATCAGTGTTTTCTAACAAGGAAGCTGAAGCTGGAGGGTGATAGTTACTTGCCTGAACTATCCCTTAGAAGTTACAATGTAAGAGAAGAAGGTGACATTCATGATGTTCAAAATAGCATCGAACAAAGATGATGCAGTCAATGTTAAAATAAAAAAAAAAAACAAGTAAAACGGCTTCACTGGATACAGATTTTGCTGCCTTCCTTTTAAACAGCAGTTCACCTAACCCGGCAAAGACAGCTGGTACATGAGCAAGTCCTTAAACGCAATCTCTGAGCTCACACATCACGACATGTACACACAACACGTATTCATACAGGCTGGTAAGGTGTCCTCGCAAATAAAGGGCCGTTTAATTTAGCCTCTCGTGAAGTTAGTAGCAGCAGCCAGTCCCATTGCCAGCAACGGGATGCTTGCCAGGAAGTCTCTCCTCCCAGAGTTAAGGGCTAGTATAACACGGTACAAGCACTTCTTGAAGCCCCGGCGTCTTTCTTTTTAACAAAACGATACAGGGTCCATTTCCAAGTAAGAGAGTCCCTAAACTGCAGCAGCTCCATTACAGTAGCAGCACGAGCATAAACGAGAGCGGCACCAGCAGATTCCCGAGTGGCATTTCCCTTTCTAATTCCATTCTGACTTTACCCCTGTAAGCAGAGATGAAAATAACTCTGGGAAATACACAAAGTTTTCACTGGAAACAAACTGCATTAGGATTTTTCCATTGCATCCTATTTTGGTAGTGGTTATTTTAGCTGGCTGAAGGCAGCCGCATTGCTGGGGCTGTCACATTGCTAAAGACTTTCACTGGCTCAATGCAAATTGTGGCTGTGAATTTGTACCGTGGGGCTGGTGCCAAAACACCCTGCACTGCAGGAGCACTGCACCAGGCTCATCTCAAATGGAAGGTAGCAGCTCCTTCCCCATCTCAGAAAGAACCCTGCTGCTTATTTCTGCACACTTGCATGAAGAGGCAGGAACATGCAGGCTAATCTGATCACTGTGGACTCACCTCCGTTACCTGCCTCCTCCCAAGATCCAAAGCCAAAAGCTCTAGAAAGGAAGGGAGATGCAGCGTTGCTCTGACTGTGCCCTTCCCAGTGCTGGGAGAGCTGGGAAATGGCTGTAGAAGAACTGTTGTATAGACAAGAAGGGAGTGGGGAAGCAGCTGGCAACAACACAGCTATTGCCAAAACGGCTTGATAATGTTTGATGAATGAAAGCCAGATACTAACAATTACTCTTCAAAGTGCTTCCAAGATGCCAAAAGACAAAAAATGAGCTCATCTACAGTCCAATAAACTATCTACTGCCCCAGCTGTAAGCAGTACCACCATCTTGCTGGGCCCAGGCAAATTTACTTCAGTTGGATACTAAGATGGGGGTTTTCTTCCTGGACTCCAACCTATAACCTCTGGACAACATCATGATGTGTTGTTCAGACATAACAGCTTTTTGGAGCTTACCTCTTAGGGAGAAACCTCTTCAGCTCCTCCACCAACCAACCAAAACCCTAACACAGCAGAATGCCTTGCTAGGAGAACACATGAATTCTGGAACACAGTCATCCCGTAAAAGCACGACTGAAGAGGGCATAAAAGATCAAAGCTCATTTAGAATCGAAAAGAAACTGCTTCCAGGGTGATCTGGATCGGGGAATGGACTGGAATTTTCTGGGATCATAACGAAGCACAGATTATCTGGAAATAACCTAAGTGTTCTTTGCAAGACACCGCTGTAGGAGTGAAGATGCATCTCCCTGGGGCATTTACTCTGAGAAACTTCTCCACGTTGTTGAGGGGGGTTCCAGAGGGCCCATCAATGCTGAATTAATGGTTATGAAAGCCCCAGGAAAAGACTCTTTTTCTACTTGGAGAAGCAAGACTCAAGAATATGCATTCACACACCGACTGCAGGATCAGTCTGGAGCACAGAGATTACAAATCTGCATCTGTAAAGGGCCATGGAGAAATGCTGTGTTACAGCCCTCCTTCGGCTTGGAGCAATGCGGGCAAGAAGATGACCTCCTCTGATCTAAAATCTCCAGAATAATGCCAGCCACAAATGTAGGAAGCACAACTCCCTAAAAAGACTTCTTACAAGGATGACTCTCATGGACCGATCAGTAAAGTCTGCTGTAGCAACACGCTACAGTTACTGACAGGTTACATCAGCAACCCTGTCAATAACCTATATGGCCATTATGTCATACTTAACTGACTTATGCTTTTTTTTTTTCCTGGAGAAATAATGAAGAAATTCCTCAAAAAACAGTAGAAGATGCCATGTCTGAAAGAATGATACAAACAGCATTTTAGATGCACGGTGTTCTGTGCCAGAGGGAAACGGTGCGCACCGCGTTCACAGGCGCTCCTCGTGCTCTCTGCTTCTGGAGAGGATGGAGGGAGTCTGTGTTTAGTCCTAAGCAGGTGAGTGAAATCACACTTTCCTCCTTCCCCACCAGAGAACTTGTACTCCTGAAGGAATGTTGTATCTGAAAATGATGTGAAGGAAAGGACCCAATGCCAGAGAGGAAGGGGTTCATGTTAGCAGTATGTTATTGAAAGCTAGGGGAGTTAGCTCTAGTTTTCAGGCTTAGAGCTGTTCAGTTAAACTAGTCCATTAATTCAAGAAAGCTGTGACCAGAAATAGCTTCAGGATACACTGATTTGCACAGGTATCTTGTCATAACATACATAAGGAAATATTCTTCCTTATGCAAGCTCTCCCGACATCCTGATCTCCTGATGTCTCCTGACATCTCTTTCTTAGAACAGTCACTACATCTAGGATGTCAAGACTTGAACTGAGGGTAGGGTTCCTTCCTTCTCCATTGAACTGAGGTGAAAGAGAGACTTGAAGAGATTTATGGGAGGAGTTGTGTGGGGTCCCATCTAACAACAGGAAGATGATACAGAAATCCTACTCCTGAGGAGAATCTGATACAATCTTTTCTCTTTGCTCTCTTAACACAACTGGAAGAGAAGCCAATATCAATTGCTGGAACTGAGACCAACTATCTTGTTGAGGCAAGAGCAATTTGCATATTCCTGCCTCTAAGTGCAAGTGGATGGAGCTACCCAGCAGTTCTCATCAGAGTCGGTATGAGCTGGTTCCAAAGAATTCTTCATGATAGCTTTTTTTGGAAAATAGTCTACATACTCACTCTGTCAGGGAAACAAGAGTTTCTTTTATATTTTTATGGGCCTTTTAATATTTCAAAGTCTAGCTGGTCACTTTAATCTGTACATTTTTGTTAGTCTGGATAAATTCTGACAGTTACTTCAAACTTTGAAAAGTAATTTAGTAAGGCACCCTCATTAAAATTCATATTTACCAGGGAGCAGAGGGAAAGCCAGCTCCGTTCGTTAGTGCCTGACAGTTCTCTGAATGCTGTGCTTAATATTTTGTGTAGTTAATATTTTAGCTCACTATTTTGTTTGGGGCCGATTTCCTTATAGTTCTTTCCAATATATCGTCAAATGATTTTTAAAAGGTCATTCCAAACGGATGGAAGAGTAAACAGGGGGTCACACAGCTCTATCAAAGACATTACTGTAGCTGCGTGCTATTAGTATTCTAACAACAGAGTCAGAAGTTGATGGTAAACAGGCACCCACCCTTTCTTAGAAACAAATTAATATTTCAAAGCAGTGCTTACCATGGTCACTGAATAGCAGCTGTTTCCATTTCTGTCTTTCTGCTTCTGAAGCTTTAAATCCCAATACGGATTTCAATTCCTGTAACACCCGCTTGGATTCCTCTCTCTCCCGTTTTTGTCTCTCTCTCTCTTCGTGGGAAAAGCAGTAAAAATCTTCCCTTTTGTATTCACTGTCCATATCTGAATCATCAACATATGCTTCCAATTCCTAAAGACAGGAAGGATAAGGCCAATTTTTATTGTTCACGTTCAGCACAGATCTTGTCCCACCAGCTGCTGTGTGATGCAGGGACCCCAACACAAGGCAAAGCCCCGAGGCAGGGGCCGACCCTCCTGCAGGCAGCTTGGAGGGAGCCCCCTCACTCCAGGTTTGCAGAACTGCAGCCACCCAAGACTTCTCTCATATAAATACACAACGATCATAAAGTGATAAAAAATGGAAGTCCATTGCTTCATAATTACTGATGGAAATAAGCAATGCCAATGTGGTTTTCTTTTTTTTTTTAACTTACACTATGCAATTTTTAGCCATCCAGGCATCCTGCTAATTTAACTCACGTCAATCCTTAGATGTTTATTGTGCTGAAGTCCGTTTTAGGCATCCGAAAAATGCAAAGATACCATAAACTGAAGATGGACTGTATTGCCCGAAAACACGTCATTTTGGGATCTGCATCAGTTTGTCTTATAAAATGCAAATAAGACTCAACTTTTGCCTTTTAGCAAATGTTTTATTTTCCCTGTATTAGTTTGACTTGTGTTTCTGCCTTTCCTTTTGTCCAATTATTTCTAATATTATACATGAAGAAGAAAATGCTAGTGCCCTTCCAACATGGGGAGAATCTCCCTGTGAAACAACAGAGATAAAATACATATTTTTTTTCTTTTTTTCTGCAAGTCCACATATGAAATGGCAATGGGTACTTGCTTTATCTGCTTTGGCAGTACAAAGAAAGCTATTGCAAAGCAACTGAAAAAAATGGATAGAGAAAATAACAATAATAAAAAATATGTTTATTAAGTGTTTCTTTTTCTTTTTACCTGCTCTTCAGGGATCGGGTCTTTGTCTTCAATGTGCAGGGCAGGCTGCATTAAAGGTACTGCAGTATGCTGCAGGCTGTCCCAGGAAGCTTCAAGCTTGCCTTTGGGAGGAAAGAAAGAAAGAAATGTATTGGGGAAATAAAGAAAAGAAAGAAAGATTGAGTGGTTTATTTGACTCACTCAGGGAGGGTCCAGGTATTTTCATCAGGCAGCTTTGGCACATATGAAAAATGGTGAGAAGGCTGGTTAGAACACACTGAAACCTGTGTAAGAGAGACTTGTATGAAAATGGCTAAGTTATTTAAGTTGGGTCTGACGCAAATTACCTTGGAATACTTCAACTAACAGATCTCAACATTTTTATAGGGTTTGAAAAACCGCAGAGGAAAGGAAAAATCTATAAGACCAAAAAAGAGACTTGCTGCCCAGGTTTAAAAAGTGAAATAATATAAGAAGTGCGAAATTATAGGCCAATTCAATTCATTAAAAAATACTGGAAGAAATCAAACAAAATTTATAGCCACTTGGAACACAGTAAGGAGATAAAAGACAGCCCATGTGGATTTGTTGAGAATAAAAGATAACAAACCATTCCAATTTCCTTTTCTGACAGTTCTTATGACTAGAAGAGGCCAAAGGTATCCTGCATCTTGTTTTCAGTGTGACTTTTGACACTGTCATGACCTGCCCATAAACAAAATGGCCAGCAAAAGTTGCCAGTAGGTGACAAAATGCTCTTGGGAAACCAGAGCACACACACTGCTTTCAGACAAAAACAACATACTCATTGAGGATTTGCCTCCAGTCTGGTACTCTTCAATATTCTCAATGGGTGAAAGAAAAATGTTTAAGCTCATTGAATCTTCTGACACTTGGATAATCTGCAGAGATACTGAAGGGCAGATTTAGAATGAGAAATAAATCAGAGAGAGAGTCCAGGAAGAATAGGATTTTAGATACAGCACTTCAATGACAACAGTTGCAAAGTTCTGTGCATTGGAATAGTTAAATGCACAAATATGTGATGACAAATATGCAGAGACCTAGTCAACAATATTCTGCTGTGATCAAAAAGCCAAAGTACAAACAGATATAACCAAGTGCGCAGACTGTAAGACACATGAAATTTCATTTTCACTCTGCTTGGCACTGGTATGGCCTTGGAGGGAACATTTTGCCCACTCTGGGACTCCTCAGTTCAATACTGTGGACCAACTGGAGGGAGTTCAGAGAAGAACAGTAAAAATTATCAGAGAATTTTAAAGATACGCAGAATATTTGAGGGATATGCAGTTTTGTAGAAAAGATAGAAAGAAATATATTAGCTCTTGTCAAAAGTGCAAGAGAGAGCCATAAAGGGGAAATAGAAGTCCATTGTGGGAAGATAACAGCGATGTTTTCAGATTGCGGTAGGATGTATTTATATTCAATACCAGGAACAACCTGTGTGCTGTTATGGCAGTTAAGTGCTGGAATAGATGTTTGGAAATGCTGTAAAATATCTCTGGAAGAGGTTTCCAAGAACGGCCAAGCAGCACTTAGTCGCCAATGGGACCTGGGCTCTATGACCTCCCCAAGCCCCACTCCTACTTTCAGTTTCCAATCCATACACAGGAGACTTGAGGGATGGTATTTGAAAGTAGACAGTTTACATGAAAAATGCCTCTAATGGTGCTCAGCTTCCTGCTTTCACAAACAAAGGAAGTTTATAATTCTCTCGTTGCCTGGGCTGAGCTAAAGATTTGCTATTCCAGAAGTATCTTCCAGCAAAGTGATGGTTTAGAAGAAAGCTGCAGCCTGCAGTGAAAATTGAAGTGGAAAACCGTCAAGAGATACCACATTTTGCTAATCATAAATAGTAAGGTCTTGAATGTATAAAGACAAATTCGGAGGAATAAAACGAAAGTTACCAATGAAAAGCGAATGAAAAGCTTGACTACCCAAAACAGATGAGTGAAACAGCTGCTCTAGTATGCACAGGCTACAGGTCCTCTCTCTGGGATCACAACACTGCTAAGGACCAGTGCTACCAGACCTTGTATTCACAGGCCTCAACTGAAATTGCTGCTCTTCAGTTTCTCTCCGGCGGGTCAAATGCAGGAGTCAAATCCGGGCAATATGCAGGAGTGCATAGCAGAGCACTGTGCCTGTGCTTCCACAAACACTGGAGAGAGGTGTATGCATCTGCAGGATGACAGGCAACATGGAAATGCAAAAGAATGCAACTGGAGCAGTTTGAGGAGTATTATTTCCAAGATAGTTTAAACAGTGCTCTAACTGGCTGTAAAAAGTATTCTTCTGTGACAACAGCAGCAGGTTACTATATGCTTAAACTGCTGAGGCCTCAAGAGGTAAATTGGTTTGATCAGTCAGGCAAAATGTGGAAGGATAAAGAGAAGCTGGCAGAAAGTCTAGAATCAACGTTTGAAGTGATTAAAGAAAGATCAGTGTGTATCCACAAATCGATGGATACAAAATATGCTTAAGCAGAGATGAATTCCCCTAAAGGTGATAAAAACACCCCTTCCTCTCAGCATCTGTGAGGTGGCTGAAAGGGCGAGTGACTAATGGCACTGGGAATGCACCCGGTCCTGTGAGCAGAGGAGAAGCCGAAGGACGTTCACCAGAGTGACCACGTGCTTCAGGTATGCTGGTATCACCACGCATGGCCTTGTAAGACCAGCTCGCAGAAACCAGGCTGAGCAGAAATGCATCACGGAAGTCAGATGTAGACAGATAAAAATAATCTCCAACGAGTGACATAATTAAAAACTAGTTCCTGTGGACTAATTCAGTAAACTTTTTGGAAAAAAGAGAGATGTAAACCCAGCACACTTCCAGGAAGGTCCTGAGACAAATTGAATGTAAGAAAGAATATTATTTATTTTCATGTCCTGCACAATCCTTCCCCTCTAGATCATACATCAATCTATTTTTGTACTGATTTTTAAAAGGAAGAAAGTTATAAGAAAAGCATCTGCTGTGAAATTTATATACAAAGTAAAAATAAAACTAAAATGTCTAAAACCAGTATGGCATGCAGCCTAGAAATAACACTGAAGGAAAAAAAAAAGGAAAAAAAAATCAATGGCAGTGCTGCTTGCAGACAACATTAATGAAACGTAACAGGATAGTACAGGCAGGTGTTATTCTATTACATCCAATATTCTGATAGGTCCTTCTCTGCAGCACTGACAGGGAATTAGTAAGACCAGACTCAGGCTAACTTAGTGATGCAGTGCCTGGACCTCTATAACCAGACTCAAAATGAGCTGTAAAACCATCTTGGTGCCTGCATTAAGCTCCTCAGTGCTCCCAGGTCTGATGTGAGCACGAACAGGGTCAGCCCCTTTGCCCGCAGAAATATTAATCCATCTGCTCTATAACCCCTGCCCCCCACATATCATTAACAGCCTAGAACATTAAGAATTTGGATTTCTGTGAGTAACCTGCTGGTGCACAAAATCACATTTTCCTTTTGCACAATCCCTATTACTAACATTAATCAGATTCTGGGCTGCACCTTCCTAGAGAAGCATAAAGACTCGTGGAAAGAAGAAAAGTTAGAAATCATTGGTTTGGCTCCATAGTAGACTAAGCTCCCTTCAGTCCCTTCAGGTGGCTGTGATTCAGGAGAGGAGCGTGGCCAGAACAGGGCACTGGGCAGAGAGACACAAGGCAAAACTTTGGGATGTGCTGCTCAGGGAGCTTCTTCAGCACACAGAATCTCACGAATCTCAAGAATCTCACACGCTCCTGCAGGTGTATCTCAATATGTAAGATGCTCAATGCATCTTGTACAATTTAAAACACTTCAAGACATGCCACTGTCAAGAAAGTGTCATGACAATGTCATTGCCATTTCAATTACCAAGTAACTTTCACGCAGTTAAATGAAATTCTAACTATGCAAAGAAAAGTATCTCAGGGTTGATTCATAGAAATCCTATCCCTTCACACGTCATCCACCAGTTAAAGGCAAAAAAGCCACTATCAGTTTATACCTGTTAATGTAACCAATTGAATCCAAGTGTCTAATAAATTGTAGAAATACATTTACAATTTTTAGGGAAACAAAAGCCTCAAGGTCAGCCAGTTGAAAAGTTTGCCACATGCATATCATTTTCTCAAAGTCTATAGTTGCAGCCCCTTCTCCACGTGAAATTCAGGTATATATGTCCAACAGTCTTTGGCCTGTTTGGCCATTCCATCTCTAAAGCAAATTCCATTAGTTCATAAATTAACCTTTCGTATTTACCTTTGTTATCTGGGTGTCTTCGACTCATTTTTTCCACCTGAGAAATGGCTTCTTCCCAGCAGCTGTTGCTTGCCTGGATATGAGGTTGGATATACTTCAGTTTTTGTTCCAGAACCTGATGGGCTTCTGTTGTTAACTCATGTGTCTCCTTAGTGCTAACAAGCTTTTCAAGTTCATCCTCAAGAATTATTACCCTGTGTGGTGAAGAGACAAGTAAAGTAAAATATCAACAAATATATGACTCGACCATTTCTTCAAGTTTCATTTCATTAACATCCTGCTATTTTCTACAAGTTCTCATGATCTGGTTTAGCCAAAATCTCAAAACTTTCCCAAAAATTTAAATGTAGACTTTCTCTTTATGGAGATATACCACTCTCACACTCATTATAGCAATCCTTAAGATTAAATAGTACGACAGTTTCAACTATTTCAGTGATAAATCTTTAGAAGTATTTGCTAGGTAGTTATTGCAAGCTGAACTGTTTTATAAAGTGCTTGGTATGTTGAAAATCAATGAAAGATGTTTTCAGATTTTTCAAGAGATTGCCTAAAGAGACATTTTTATGCACGGTTTAGTTTGGATTTTTTGCCAGATATTTAAAGCATAACCAGGAAACAATATTAAATTTCCTGCTGCACCAAGGTACTTTGACTTGAGGCTACGGGAAGACATGCTGAGCTGCTACAACTGGAAGTTCAGACACAGCAATGGGCAGAGTATCAGAATACGACTGGTGGTATGGAACCTTTTAAGAACTCCTGAGAGATTTCTAACGCCCAGTATGTCTTTTGAAGTAGCAATCTGGAAAAAGGCACCTTCACTAAAATCAGTTATGAAACAAAGCAGGTACGGAGTACTTTCTGTGACTATATATATTTTGATCTTTTCTGTTTTTAATCTGGGATATAAACTGACAACCCAAAGAGTTCAAGCCTTGAAGCCTTCCTCCCACAGGCAGGTCCTTTTGACTCACTCACTCGTTGAGCAGCGCCTTGAGGTGAAGCTGCAGGCTACGAACCGCCGTGTGGAGACTGTTCAGCTCTTTCGACTTCTGCTTTTTCCTGGCTGCCCGCTCAAAACCCGACTGGTGCTGAGTTTCAAAGTACCGATAAAACTCGTAGCTTCGCTTGAGCTCCTCGAGGCAGGCAGCGTGTGTGTGAGGTAGGCCTTGAGTCACGTCGGACAAGATATGGTGAGGCAAACTTTCCGGCGTGACCAGCGGCTTGGGGGAAGCATTGGCTGGAGAGAGCAGCAGCACCAGCCTTCGGAAGAACTCGGAGCTCTGCCCTACCCAGAGCTGAAAGAGAACCTGCAAAACACAGCCGGGTTAGCGGGGAGCCCGGCAGTGCAGCCGGCCCCCCAGATAACACGTACAGATGGGGAAAGCAAGAGCCTTCTCCAGCCAGCCACAGGAACCTGAGGAACTCAGTCTGCCGAGTATTTCGGAAGGGCATCCGTGTGAGTTCAGATCTTGTGAACCTTAGATGACTCTGAATTCTTCTATGAAGTTTCGTATATGCAATTATGCTCTGAAGATTCTCAGAGGCCTAAAACTTCATCGCTGTTTCAGACAGTCTCATTATTCACTGTAATCTGAAAATAGCCTATAGCTCATAAACGGCTGCCAAAATTCCAGTGGCAAAAAGACATTTTATGCTTTATAACTTCAAGCTATCATTTCTATCATCTACTCTTACTAACTACTGCATCGCAGGACAGCCAGTGAAACGTGTACTCCAGCCAAAACAGTATACATCTGAAGAAATCTGCGCTGCCAACTTGCTCTTTTCTTTTTCAGCCCAAGTGAGACATTCACCAAAGCCATGAAGGTTTATAAGAGATAAATCACTTCCCAATGTTATCTATGCTACAGATGAATCCAGTCAGTCTGGACACCAGGAAAGCCACCACTGTAATTTCCCAAGAACTTCTTTTTCAATCGCAATATGAAAATAAGACTGGTTTTCTTAATTTAGACATTTGTTCTGATGACACGTAAGACCTGGCTATTTAGACAAAGTATTATGACAGGGTATTTGCATCTCATATCTCTAAAATAAAAAGCAATTATGATACTTTTCTCTCTAACACCAGTTTAAAAGAATCAGATTTAAATACGTAAGAAGAATCGCCTATTTAAAAGAATCAGATTTAAATACGTAAGAAGTGAAGAAAGAAAAAGAAAAAACACAGACAAGTCGGCAGCAATCACTAAGCATCCCTGAAGGAGTGCTGATCTGAATAAAGAGGCAGAACTCAGATTCTTATGAATATAAAAGAAGGCCAATCCCTTCCCTTCAGTCACAAGGCAGAAGCTGACACACAAAAGGCAGCACACAAAAGTAGAGAATTTCAGAAACTAAAAAGAATTATCCAAAAGATGTCTTAAAAAAAAGGCATGAGGATGAGAGAAACTGAAATTCCAAACTTATTCAGAGATGTAAACAGCTTTTCTGTCAACAAAAATTTTTCATGATTTTTATTGGCATTCAAACTTCATCCAAAATATCCAAAACATCCAAAACCAGCTCTCCTCAGCTTGGATCAATATTTATTTTAAAGCTTTTTTTTACCCTCTAAAGCAGTCTAATTTGAGGACAAGGTAACCAAAATGTACAGACTAAAGGCAACACATATCTCATATGGCCTAGGCAGGAGCTTGAACGAAATTTAAAATACTAACCAAATCTGTACACATATCTGTATTCTGCCTGCACTTTAATATAATAGCAAGTTCCCTCAAAGGGGAAAAAAAAAGAAGAGGACTAAGTATAAATTCACATCTCACAACACAAGCATGTCACAAGGTTATCCAAGTGCATCCATTTTTGTATACTAAGCGTGGATCTGCTCAGGACTGACTAATATTAGTTTAGCGTGATTCAGCTGTCCCATACCCAGCCTACTTCACTGGTGCCAGCTAAGGTAAACTGAGATTTGCTAGGTGGAGCTTAACTGCACCCGGAAGGCACTCCAACCAGTTTAAAACAGCTTGAAAACTAAATTCAGCTAAATCAGTGCAAACTGTAGGTGAACAAAGACCTGGTTTACAAGCCTGGGCAACTGTCTGGCTTCTTATGTTCATAGAGAAGTGGATAAACAACTGGACTTGCAGGGTTGCAACTAGAAGTACATCTTATTAATGGCAAGAAAAAATCCCTAAAGGTTACCTGAAGCTCCCAGTTTAAACTAATTAGACTAAAGCCTCAAAGCTTATTTACCCCTGCTACTAGTCACAGTTACTGCCAAATCAAAATAGGCCAAAGTCCAGGAATTCAGTGAATAAAATGCAACAAGAGTCCGTAAAACATGAAAGTCACATAATAATGGATTTTTCCATTAAAAATATAATGTCAAAAGGGAACTGCCTAAGCAGAGAACCACTAGAGTATAAAGAATTATGATTTTATCAAATCAGATCCTCCTTCTAATAGCAGACGTATTCATCCAAATTAGAAATACTTAACATCTCTAAACAAGATAGAAAAAAAAGTCATATACAGTTGCTACTCTGTTCCTTAAATATTTTTCAGAGATTAAAGAACTACAGTGGTTCATGTCAATATGGGATCCAAGTTTATGTTTTCTACTCTTCAGTGTAACTAAATGCAACTATTACATTTGTGATTGCAGCCAATTTACATCTTTGGATCTCTCTTTATGGAAGAGATTACCTAAAATGAGATTAATTGATTCTGCTGGGATTAAATGATATCAGAGAACATCTGATTGCTGAACAATAACCAGAGCACAAATTTATGCTTATGGAGGAGACTGGCCCAGCCTGTTATAAAACATTCATTTGAATTTAAGTGATTTGCAGAAAAGATCCTAATGTTATATTGAACAACTAACTTCTCTTCAATGACATGCAAAAACAAATCATGTAAACGCCAGAGAGCATAAGACACATGATGTAAGACTACTTATGAACTTCTTCAGTTCATTCTTACTATAGACCAGCATGTAGAAACAAACAAATAAACTCAACAATGACAAAACCTTAGGAGATTAAAAAAAAAGGTGCCAGACAGTTGAAGCAGCAGAGCCTCCTGACAACTGCCCAGCTCCTCGGGACAGTCTTCGTGGGAGCCCTTGTCCTTGCGGGTGAGAGTACCTTGAGCGCGGGCAGGCTGAAGCCGTCGGTGAGGTTGTGGGCCTCCTCCTCGGACACGTGCTCCTCGCTCAGGCCCAGCCCCAGCTCCTTGAAGGGCACGACACAGATGTAGTTGGTCACATTGTCGCTCTCGGAGTTCAGAGGGTAGGTTTGGCCAGAGTTAAGGGGGTTAACAAAGCAACGTTTGCAACAAGCACACGGAAAAGGCAAAAGTGCCAGGTAGGGAATCTTATATCTAGCTATTATATAAAAGCACATGTTTAAGCGAACGTTTTGCAATCTCTGTCCCTAGCATGGCTTTTTAAATGCTCATAGAAAGAGAGGACATTAGCAAAACATTCATGTCTAAAAACAAACATCCAAAAAGAAACAAAGAAAGTAGAATAATGAAAAATCTATGCATTCCTTTCAAATGAAGAAATTATATTAACTTTAAACAGAAAATTCCTAAGAAACAGCTCATGTCAGTCTTAAAAACAGAAATTGGTCATTTAACAAATTAGAGAGATGAATACAACACTTGCGTAATTTTAATTTTCAAAGGTAATCTACACAATAGTCCAAAATAAGGATGGTGGGACTTCCCTGTGAGCTCTGCTTAAGGAGGACTGTCCAAAGATGTTTAAAATAACTGCTCTGACACTGCCATACTGCTAATCCAACCCCATATTTCTCACGGACACAATACCATGTACTATAAGGTTTCATACAGCCAAAAATCAATTATTTTTTGTAACTTTTATGAAGATAACTGTGCTACTGTTCTTATTGCTTTGCTATCCATCTCTGTGGTAGCGTTGACACATGGAGGAATAACTAGCCAAGGAAGGGGGTAGCTATGAGGCCCTGTGAAAATTAGCTCAGTTAACAGCACAGCTTAGGCCTTCACCCTGCCTCTTCTGATTCCTGCATTGAAAGACGTTCTTCTGAATCATCCCAGAAGGAATATGGGAATAATAACGAAGACATAAGTACATGAGAAAAGCACTTGCAACCATGAAGATCTTTGAGATCGGCTGTTTCGGAGACTATTGAAATCAGCAGGAAACACTTAGCATTAATTATCATTAACTTAATTTTTGTGTCCCTTACAGTGATGTCAGGACAGGCCAGTTACCCTGTGAGAACAGCAGTTACTTTGTTCCCCGCTGTCCATGCCCAAACGCAACCGGGCAAGCTCGTGTGCAGAGACGAGAGGTAGCACACGCAGCGGGCCGGGCCTCAGCGCGCGTCCCCAGCCACGGAAGTGCTTGAAACCTGCAAAAACAGCAAAACCGGGCACGGGGGAAGAGATTCCAGCCAAATGAAGCTCTTGTCATGCAGCAAGGCTTCACATTGGCAAGTCCTTTGTGACTGACTCCAGAAACATTTTAACTGCACAATTCCACATGCTGAAGGGATTGACCCGCTAGAAAAGCTGATTTGGGCCAATTCACACACAACTACTGAGATTACGATTTATTGATTACACAGCTATTTACACAGCTGTAAAGCCACTGTAATAATCTTGACAGGAACAGCAGCAAACTTATGTCTATCAACATAGTGCAGCCCACTTAATTCTGATTATGAAAAATAAACAATCTGTGCTATCCTGGCTCTCTCTCACAATTAATAGCTATCGATTTTTTTAATTATTAATAATTTTCTATATTTAGAATTTCATTCTATATTCATAATGTAATTCTAGAATTATGAGATTCACAAGGAATTTGTTTTTAAAAATGCACATTTTCAACCATCACAACTGTGGTAAAATGCTCAAAAAGCAGGCAGCAAACACCATGAGACTCAGATGCCAAAGGATAAACAAAAATATTTCATGCACTAGACAGCATTTATAAAATAGCACTAATTTTAGGCTAACCTCATGCTTAGGAATGAGGAATGAGAGGGAGGGCTAGTTCAAGATTTCTGTGTGGTTTAAATGATTATCCAGTCACAAAACAGCATATTTCCTCTAACATGGGAACTAGAGTCATAAGAACATATTTGCTTTGCAAAAGTAAATAAAAATATTTGCAAAGCGTTCAGGAAAACAAGGCCGTAACTTAATCCTTTCCTTTATGTTTTGAGCTCTTATCTCTTAGATCCCATAAAGCTCATTGAAAAATACTTTGTCCCATCCATCTTCTGGGAAAGTTTCATGTTTCACCCTCTTTTACTCCTAAATTTTCCACCTGCTAAATTCTCATACAATTGAGAAGATAACGGCGATTTGCTCCAAAATAAATTTCCCACTTCGGTAGAAGCATTTTGCATAAAATAGAATTTTTGTGGCTCAGGGGAAAAAAAAAAAAAAAAGGAAGAAAATGAAAAAAAACAAAAAAACAAACAAAAAATATACAGATCAGATAGGACTTCTGGAAACAAATCCATGGAGCACATGGGATGAGGATGTTTGGCCTCCTTCGGAGGGAAGAGTCAGAGCAAAACCATTTAGGATCAGTTCTCTGAAAGGCTAATCATCCCCCTTGTTAATCCTTCCCTGCAAAAAGCAGCTTCCAGCAGCGTGCATGTCTTAAAATACGTGAGTACAACCGTATAAATACAACCTGAATACAGCACATAAGGGTTTCTAAGGCTCAAAAAGAGCAACAAAAAACATGCAGGGAACAGAAACATTAAGGCCATAAAGAACTGACTGTAGCTCCAGATTTTCAACCTAAAAACTCTTATGCAGCGGCGCATCATCCAAATGAGGTCATGCGGCCAAAATGCCTCTAATAGCTTCTTAAGGAATAAACTTTTAGAAAGTTTAAATATATCCCACATACATTCCCTGATCGATTTTTTCTCCAGAACAAATAGAAAACAATGTTTTCTACTAAAGCAAAAAAAAAAAAAAGCACTAACTGAACTTACATCGCTCACATTTTTCTATGTCTTTGTGAAAACACTTTATTCACCTGTTCAAGTCACATTTGTTACCAGTTTAGAATAAGAGAAGGCAACACTATTTAATAATAACTTCTATATAACTGGAATAAAATATCTGTACAGGGAATATCTAATCTCTATCAAGAGCTAATATTATTCATATGTAAAGAACAAGAGTATTAGTGCACCCATGTATACAAATCAGTACTAGTACACTGCTTTTCTAAAGCATGTTTTCCTGTAGCCATCTAACAAGATCCCTAAGAAATCTAAGCTGCTGTTCACAGAATTCTCACCGCTCACTAGGCTGGAAAGAACGAGCAAAAATCTCATCTGATGTCAACAAAAAATTCCCAAGCATCTTTACTCAGATGCAAGAGTCAAACTTACCTGCAGAGTCAGACTTTGGATTTAGAACGCAAGGACAGTGTAAGTTTTTGTAAAAATGAAACAATTTCACTGTATCGAGGTGGGCTGGCTACTAAATCATTCCCATTTTATGGATAAAAAATGCCACTTTTTACAGATTTTGCTTCTTTATGAACAACTTCTGACATTCAAGCTGTCTTAGAAAACAGTTCATAAGTGAGGCTGTTTATCCATTTGGTAAGCATATGAAACCATACACTTTCAAAGAATAAAAATTATCATGCCATATTAAGCCATAAATGAGTGAACTGATCTTGCTGCAAAGTAATTTAAAAAGGGATATTCTGATATTTTACATTACTTTAATTTTCTATATTAGTTTAATTATTATATGTAGTAACAGACATGTCTCAGTTTAAGACCTGTTTACTGTAGCCTTGAGGCAACAATTACAGATGGGATACCCAAATTATAAAAGTCCATTATAAAAAAAACCACGCAGCTGTAGGTATATTTCAGGGCATGTTCTGCAGCATCAGGACATATTTCACATTATCATCCTTCTGTGCCCCTGTACCCCTTAGGAGGTCTAATCACAGACTGGGACTTTATTTTGATAACTGGACATCACACACAAAAATGATTGCTGGAGCCCATGGCTCAGCACTGGAGTGACAAGTATTTATTTTGTGTAACAGCATCAACTGAATACTGCCAAATGAGCAAACCCAACTGCAGCATAAAAGTTTATCTCCCACTTAAATATAAATGTTTACATGAAATGCACACTTCAAGGTTTAAAGCCTTCCTGATTATTTGACAAAGTATCTAATTTCAAATGTCAGACTTTTGGGAAAAGAAAAGCACCTGAGGGCATTAGAAGCCTGGCCCAGTGGAAGAAAGCCAGCGTGGATGAACTGAGGCCAACGAATCCCACCCTGTGGAAGGAAATGAAGATGTGATAAGCGGTATCGTGTGAAGATCCAGTTCCACTTTCATCATCTTTGACTTCAATGTCCTAAGAGCTGTGCCCAATCAATTGATACATGTTGTTTCTCATCCCACATGATTCACTCTGACATTTCCTGAACTATTTTTTTTTCCCCACAATGGATCCCGTGCAGCATCTCAATGGGCCGTATCACAATGGAACACATCACAATGGAACGCATCACAATGGATCCCCTGCCACATTACAATGGGACGCATCACCATGGATCCTGTGCCGCATCACAATGTATCCCATGCGCAGCACAATGGGCCACATCACAATGGATGTCATGCAGCATCACAATGGGCCGCATAACAATGGATCCTGTGCCGCATCATAGAATGCTTAAGATTGGAAG